ATGATAGTGGTATTGCAAATGGTGGAAAGGCCTCAGCCATACCACCCTAATCACTAGAGTTGTCAGCATCGTCGACATCCTTCTGGCTTCTGAGCTGTCGGATTCCCCTGTACCGCCAGTTGGAGATGTATGTCTCAAACGCCTGCTCTCCATGCTTCCCATTAGATGTTGCGTACACGCCAACCACGGAACCTAGAATCATAATTGTCAATATGGGTTCCAATTGTCCTCATGGTGGGTGAGCCTACCAGAGTAGTAAGGAACCAACTCGGTACCCTTGCAATATCCGAAGACTCTTAGATCGGAGTCTTCCCTGAGACCCGCAAGGCCGGCAGAAAATGCGAAATGAGTGCTGTTAACAGCCTCAATCTGGAGCGAAATCTTCTGCCCAGCCCAACCACCAGGAAGTGGGTAAATCTCATTAGGCGGATGTTCGACCGCCCTATACGGTGTTTCCGAGATACCACGATACCGAAGATGCGGTCGAAGATCCTCACTTCCCTCTGGCTTCAACATGACAATACCAAGATCAAAGTGTTGTGCTTGATCTTGGATAATTGAGACGCCGACCTCCATCTCTTCCTTCGTCAATGACGTTGCCCAGTCGACTTCAACACGGAATTTGAAGAGCGAATGAGCCATCCGCCGTCCGACGAAAGTCTGACCACGACCCAAGGCAAAGTCAGCGTCGAAAGCCGTGAGATTGAGTACTGAAGACTTCAGCGCCAGTGTATTCCAGTGACCTGGTGGCGAGACCGCGTAGTTTCTAGCCTTGGGCAGGCGCCAATGGATGAAATGAATAGGCAGACTGCTTCCCGGCGGAAAGATGATAACATCGTCTGCGTCGCTGAGTTGACCTTCTCCCTCATCTGGAATAGCTTTTGCGGGTAGCGGCCAGCCTGAGACATTGCCAGTGACCGGCGTAAACACTGGGAACTCATCCCTCTCCCAGGTGACGGGCGTAAGTACCGTCTCTCTGCCCATCGGCAGGTTGCCAAAGTATGCTCCAGGATCCTGGCCATAGGTGCCGCCAGCGCGAACTGCTAGGGCGACAGACCACCAATTTTCATCAGCATCCTGGAACAAATCTGCGTGCCCGACAGCCTGGAAGTAGGAGGTAGTATCGTTTGCAGAAGTCAACAGTGGGTTTGCCGGTGCTGAATCGTAAGGTCCCTCTAGGCTCTTTGATCGAGCCATTGTGACCATGTGATTCTCACGGGTGCCGCCTTCGGCAAGAAGTAGATAGTACCACCCATCACGCTTCCAGATGTGAGGTGCCTCGGGAGACCGCCCGCCGGTACCATTCCAGGGCATAATCATGTCTCCTATCTCTCCAGTCTCCAGATTGAGCGGCGCGTGCATTATACCTGGGTAGTACGCGGCTGTGTGAGCACCGGAGACGTACGTCTTGCCGTCATCGTCCCAAAACGGTGAAGGGTCGAACCCCGGGAAGCTGAAGTGAATAGGATCCGACCAAGAATCTGAGCTGTATGGGTCTGTCGATGTGAGGATAAAGTTATCCCAGCGACTGTCATTTGTTCTCGGGAGTTGCTGATTTACGAGAGTGCATAAGAGGTAGAAGATGCCTTCATGGAATCGCAATGTGGGTGCGTAGATGCCACTGGTTGCCTTTGGAAGGAAAGCTAGACCTGGCAGCTGGTCTGCTCGACTGAATGCGTTGGAAACATGCTTCCAGTGCACCAGGTCTCGACTTGCGTGGATGGGTAGGCCAGGGAAAACTAGAAAACTGGATGTGACACAGAAGAAGGTATTGTTCAACTCTGAAACAAAGATACAGCTCGGGTCAGGGTTGAAGCCGCTAATGATGGGGTTTTGAAAGGTTGAGTTCTCAGCTTGGGCAACTCCGAAGAGGGCTATTGCCAGAGCTAGAAGTCCGGACTTCATTTTGGAAAAGCTAGCAAGCTATTGGGCTCTTTGGCGAGCAGTCACGAGCTCGGTTTTCACATTATAATGATTTTCAGAGGCCCGTAACTCAGGTAACCCCGCAACGCTCATGGAAAACCTGCATCGCTCTGGAGTCTGTTTCCACACCAGAGAAAGTATCCTAGCAGCAGTCGAAAGTCGTTTACAACATCGAGGGCAATGGTGCGGCGCTTTTCCGAGAGACCGGCGCCGTGGAAACCCCTACCCGGAGAGTTGTGGCTTTAGCCTAAAGTTCCGAAGCACCGATCTTGTCCTGTCGAGCTCCAAGCCAACTGCGGGGGAGGTGCAGGATCACCAAGGCCAAGACTGGGGGAGTTGGAGTCATGATGCATTTCCGTCATCTCCTTTGCTTTCAGTGGAAGTGAGCTATTCACTTGGTTAGAAATAGCACTTGCATATCCGATGCAGTTTTCAATCAGCATGGATTGCGCCGGAAACATTACCAACGTTATCATTTGTCTGCGTCTAATCCCCTGTCCACCCTTTCCATGCTATCTTGATTGACAGCTCCTCTCCTGCCTCCTAAACAGAGGTTCCAAAAACCGAGCTGCAAAGCTTCCCTTTATGCCTCCACTGCTTCTCGGCACTGCTTAAGACCTTTGCGCTGTTTACCATTCTCATCAAAATTATCTTCGCTCAACCACGTTTCCAGGCCGGCCTTGGCTACTGGCCACTCATCATCTGTGATGCTGAACCAAGCTGTATCTCTACGTCTCCCCTTGGCGACCATGTGCTTTCTGCCGGTTGTTAGTTCCTGACTGAGAACGATATTTATAGAGATTTTACCTGAAGATTCCTTCATACGTATATCCTAACCGCGCAGCAGCTGCGAGACTCGGCTTGTTCAAATGATTGGCCTTCCATTCGAGTCTGTAGTTGCCCAGGCCCTCGAAAGCGTTCTTCATGAGAAGGTAATGGGCCTCAGTGGCGGCACGCGTCTGCTTCAGCTGCTCACTGAAAATGATGCATCCAATCTCAATACGTCTATGAGCCGGAACAATGGAGAGATATGCCATTACACCCACTGGCTCGGATGATGGATCCGATGCTGGGCCGGATAATACAGTGAAGTACAACGGGTCTTTGGAGACGCTCCACTCCTTGAAAGCTGCCTCACATTCTTCGATCTCAAGGAAAGGCTCATTGAAAAGGTATGTCCAGCGCCAAGCGTTTTCTTCTCGGCCGAGGTGCTTGAAGATAGCCTGCGCATGCGAGGGTTGCAACGGGACCACGGAGGTGTATCGGCCGTGGAGCGGGGTATGGGACGGGGCCGTTGCCGGATCAGCGGAGGCGACGAGAGGTCCAACAGGAGGGTCCATGGTTCTGGTAGGTCTTGGTAATGAAGGCCTAATTTGCCAAGTTTTTTGTCAATGTTTGCAACGTTTCCGATGTTCAGATCAAGATTCAAATATACATATGTGCTCTGAACGATGACTCAGGGAGTCACGGATGGAGATCCTTCACAGCACGACAACTTCGGCGCGAAGTGGGGCGACCGGCCCGGTCACAGGGAAGACACGCCAAATACGCCGGATACGCGCAACTTCAACGCAGGATTACTGATCTCGGTGATACTAGGACCAGTGCACTGACGAAAGTCGACTGTCAAACGGTACTTTGCCCTCAATTTAACAACTACAAAGTTGTGAGGCGCCCCAAGATTGTTGCGGGCTTTGAATAGGTACTTGGAAAAAGTGCAATTCGGCGACTTGACTGGCATGAGTTCATCAAGTTGACAGTTCAATAGGAGCAGACACGGCTCGACGATTAATCAATGAAACTACGTCAATATCTCGAAGTGTCTTTATGGATGTTGTCTGCTTGACTGAGTGTTTTGGAGTGCCCAATTGTTAGAAACCCCAGGTGTCATGTCAGCTTCCGCCGTGGTCTTCGCTCGATTTGTGGACTTTCATTCCTCCACCCTCCTCGTTCATATGGAGAGTGACTGCTAAGCATACAAGAGGTCGGAACCAGTTCAAATTGAAAGTTGATGGAACACCCAGAAACATCACATACGCCAGTAACGCTCTAGGACCCAAGGGACTAAGTCATTCGTCGCAGCAACAGGCGATATTGCCAAGTACTGCCACTCTTCATGCGCCAATTACATCTATAAAACGCCACTAAGCTTCCGCACATGCTGACTAGAGTTCTTTATATGCTTATTTGATATCGCAAGTAGGTTCCAATTGATGGCGAGAAGCAAGGTTGAAGAGTCTTGGCTGGGTGGCTTTCACTTTCTGTTCTTCCTTGCCTAGGGGCAAGGGGGCCCTGTTTCCTCCACCTAAACCGATCAGACGAATTGAATCTCAGATAATATGACGAGTGAAAGACTAGAAAGACCTGATCCAACGTAATTGGTTCCATTGAAGGAACTAAGGCTCGATCAGGCCATGCTACTGACTTGCGCTGTTATGGCGGTTGCCAGAGTTCGGATCAGAAAAATCATGGACAAATTGTTTGAAGCTCAATTCTCGTATTCGGTCAGCGTCACAGCGAATGCTACCATTCTTGAAGCTCGCAGGAAACCATCAAAATGTCGGTCGGCCGCCTGCTAGCTCAAAACTAAGAGGTAAGCGACGGGACTTTGGTTCAATGGTTCTTGGCGTCAACTTCTAAACTACTTCACGGATCACTTTCCGTGGCCGATCGGCCACCTAAGTAGTCAATATTTGACGCATAATAAAGACGGCCGATCAAAGAGTCAGGTCAGTTTGACGACCTCGTTTACGCAAGGTCATGGCACAGTAACTTGTGCAGAGACGTAAGCTTACCATACTGAGCTCCAGTGCCAGAGGAGGCGCGGCCTATGCAGCGATGATACACTGAGCTATCGTGCCAATGCCAATACTAACTCCATCTAGCAATCGAGAAGGCCATGACGAGAGACACGAGTATCAAGTTTGGCAGGTTTTTCGTGTTGTCACATCTCTTGATTCCAAGCTGGAGCTAATGACTATATAAACATAACCCTGAGCACCGACTGCCTGAACTTGATCATAAACTACCCTTCACACACAAATCTCTAAACTCAGCTTCTAGACAATCCTTTCACAATGGTCCAAAGCGCCCGTTCTCCAGTCACTTTGCTCTTCCTGATGGCTCTCGCAGCTGCGTCTCCTGCTCCTCTTGTAAACTCTCGGGATGTAGTTGCTGTGGCTGACTGGTCCTGGGAACATTGGGTTGAGACAATCATTGCCGACCCTGAAAGCGCTCTATCCGTCGATGAAGCCCTCGAAGCTGCGGCCAAATCCACTGCGGCTCACGAGGGTAACTCTTTTATTTCTACTAATTGTCTCTATATGAATGTCAAAATTGGGTATGTGCGTGCTAACATGGTATCTGTAGATGGCCCACTTGACAAGAGACAGGAGCAGTTCCTCGTTTGCAACGATGGCAAGCCTTCTGCTTGGGTATGTGAAGCTCGGTGACTTTTGTTGAATAAAAAGTCCAGACTAACACTACATAGGCACCTGATGCTGTGACGTGTATCAACTACCTTGCCGGTCTCAACGCCAATTGCGGGACTAGAACGGCGACGGCGATGTGTACCGCTGGTAATGCGCAAATTGTTGGAAGTGGCAGTGGAGCTGGAGAAGTGAGCACCAACTGGTATGTTGAACTCAGTCTCTTAAGTTCAAAAGATCCGTATAGATTGGACTGACTCTCTTCGCCATTCAGTAACAATGTTGCCCGCACTGCTGGGCGCATCATGGATCGCTGCTGGAGATCTGACAACACCGTTCAGGGAGGCATGCCGGCTTACGAACAAGGCGCCATGTGGGTTTACGTCTCAGCTCCTCTGATTTGATTCAGACATCGATGCGATGGCCACGGGAGTGCTTTCAATGGCATATGAATGTGGCGAAATCTTGGAATTCGGCTGCCCCCAATGGCTTTTCCCTCCTGGGTTTGATAGACATAATCTCACAACCTACTACGCCAGCACCTACTGTGCTCGTACAAGATATTCAATACAAAGCTAGTGTGAAGCATGTTCCCTTTTATGTTGTCTGAGTGAACTTACTTCACAGGTCCTTTGGGTCATGAGATGATGGACGTAACTCGTTGCTTAATATGCGGCCCTCCACTCCATCTTCTGTTCCACCACGCCAGTTTTGCCAGAGACGTAATCCAGATACCCTTTGTAGTAAGCCAAGGGCGCGAAATCCTCCTTGAAACTTGCCTCATAGATCTCGCCAACAACATCAGTCATGGATCCATCAGACTTGCACTTGAGTAAACATCTTCATCGCGAGTCAAGTCAGCTGGGTAAATCAAGATGGTCTACTAAGGGAACGACGGAGTAAAAAGGTCCGAAACTCCAGAGATTTCACTCACGCTTGCCATCTTCCCTTTCCCTTCAGGATATCTCTCATGTGATATGTGTTCCTTTCGCAGATCGCCATGCATAGAATTGATCTGGTCCAAGGGTATGTTCCTTGGGGGTTGAGACCCGCCCAGGGGAATGCTCCAGGCTTTGATCTGGCGCGGATGCTACTTGAAGAGGTTTGGCGTGTCCTATCATCCATCAGTGCCTCTTCTGTGTTATCTCGTATATTCAGAAAGGTGACTCACCTGAAGGCAGTCCTTGGCTTGTTCCCATCCACTTTGTTGCCGACATGCGGCCTTACGGTGGAGTTTTTAGCAACAAAAATTTCGACTCGTTCCTTGCGCAGTTCTTGGGTCTCAGGAGAAAACGACTTTCGAGTGTCAGTCAGGAGAACAGGGTTTCCAACCTCTTCAGCAAGTAGAGTCCGGTTGATTGGCATCGCGAATCTGTTGAAACTCAATTTGGAACCGGGGTAGGACGTAAGGGTTCGTGATTCGGCTATGGCAGGTGCTGCCTCTACAAGGCCAATCGATACGACGAGTAAAAGGAGTCCTGCTAGTTGAGAGAACATTGAATTCATCTTGAGATGTCTGGCGGTGGTGGTGCTAGGAGAGCTAGAGATGCATCACACAAGTACGTAAGCTTCCATATGAGTTTCGAGATGGGCTGACTCTGTTTCTCAGACTAATCAAACATGCCTACGTAGGGTCCTTATGCAGACTTATATCGTCGAGGAACAAGCTAATGCAACTGGAATGCACACTCCGCATCTGGAGTTTCCACTTCAGCCTCCAAACTTGAAAGAGCATAGTAGGAGGCAAGGGCCCGATCGTGCGAGTGGGAGAGGCAAGGGAGAAACACCTGAAAGAACACATGCGCCCACATCTCCCATGTACGGCGCTCGGTGCCAAAGCCGTATCACGCGGAGCAAAATCACAGGGAAGCCTTTGTAGCACATAAGCGTACCTGGATACTCGGCGTCATGCGAGGATCTCGTCGCCGAGGCCCTAAGAAATGTACAAAAAGCCCCGACTCAGGAAGCGGAGAAGTGCCCCTGGGGTGGCCCCGACCTCGTCGACTCGCCCAATCGAGGCAATGCTGAAGGAAGCCATATGAGGACTAAGCCGTTGTCAGATCCTGTCCCGTGTAAGTGTGTCACACAGTGGTGGATAACGACTTGACACCCCAGCCCCTTGCTACCTATGGGTAAAGAGACTCATCCGCCCAGCGTTGATTGCTGTTGTACCATACTGAGTTTGGGACTCACCCAAGTTCCCTTGTAACTTGACACTAAAGCATTTGTGGCACCACGAAATGCTGACGTCTCTAAGCGGCAACTGCCTCTAACCCTTTATACCACACCTTGGGTAAGTCAAGTTCAATCCATCACTGATATAAAGAAGTTGCATGGCCTGCATTGCACGCAAATACTTCAGAGCGAACATCTTGCTCTCTCTTAGTACTTGATTCTCTTCCCCTTTCCCAAATTCCTAATTATTCACTTATCCAGTCGTTCCCTCGTTGCCCGCCATGAAAACTATCCAGTCTCTCCTTATCACGACCGTCTTCACTTTTGCTCCAACAGTACTTGCCGAATGTAACAAGAACGGCATGACAGGCGAATACGACGTTGACAACAACACCCCAGTCGACTTGAGAATCGTGTGCGCTCAGCTATCGGGCAGCTATGTAAAGAATGAATTTCGTCGAATATGCATCATGGATACGAAGGGTAGAAAGTGGGATTTTGAGCTTTCGGTAAGTCAGAGACCAAATGGTGTTTCGTTCCTTCTGCATCCTCTACTCATATGGATGATTGAAGAAATGCTTACTCTGTCAAATCGCTGACGGAGCGCTAGTATATCGGGAATGGTGACCAACGCGACATCGATATAGAAGAATGCTACAGTGGCATGAAGGCAGAGGCCGGCTGCGAGCGCGGCGGCCGGAGGAAGTATTGGAACTGGGAATACTCGTGAGTTTTTCCGAATGGGTTAGCATCTTTTCTAGAAGGATGCAATAGATTGTTAACCATGGAGACTTTCCAGGGCGGATCCAAACGTCGGGCAATGTGTGAATATGCACCCGTACGACTTTGCAAGACCATTCGACGACCAGTAAGGAAGGGACGATGGCCGGGTGTAAGGCTATCTAGGGACCCCCAAGTCCAATCCCGTCACCAGCCAGGAGGCGCCCGTCTAGGTCGATGGGTCAGGTCAAACTGGCTGGGTGGTGGAGTGGTCTACGGTCAACAATCAAATTACGCCCAAAGCCTACTCGACGACAGGCTACGAGTTCGAGTTCGATTCCCAGTGTGAGCACCAAGAGATGTAGCCCCCAATTCCGCACCGGGGGGGTGAACTCTTTTTGTTTTCATATAGTCAACGATCCCAGGCCTCACCGCTCGACACGTGACCTTTTATATGGGTGTCCCATAATACTCATCACGAATACCAACCGGTTCACGGGAAGCTGGCTTCGACTTTATTCCCATTCTCGATAAATAATCAACTTTCATTATGTATTTTGATGCCCTATAATGTGACTGCACGACACGTACATGTTACTGACGAGACGTGTTACATGCCTAATCTCTTTCAAAAACATGAACACAGCACATTCTTGAGTTTGGAACAAGATGTAAATAGCACAATAGAAATGTGAGCTAGCTGTCTCTGCTGAGTCGGATAACCTCATCTCCAATCATCATTTACGACCCTTTTATCAATTGCACGCGTGCAACGGTCCAGTAAACTGAGATACACAATTCATAGACCACGCAACGTCGTCCACAGTCATCAACCCCGGCCCGGCCCCTGTCCGACTTCCCCGCCGCCGTCCAACGGAGCACCGGAACAACGACTCCGCAGTAGCAGTCTGCCTCTCCCGGTCCCCACTCATTAAGCGCGGGGAGAGAGATTAGAACATTTAATCAGGGGAGGGGAGGGGGATGAACTGCAAAAAGCGAGAGATAATTGATTGCAACGTTGCCATCACACCACGAGATCACAGCTGTTATGAGCTCGAGCACACTGCCATAGTTCGTTCCATTTTGTTGGACGGAACTGCAAGCAGTATCTGGCTAGCCTCGTAACTTCCGAGCGTGTGGCCCCAGGAACCGAGTTCCACTCGCGTTGCGATGTTGGTTCCTATCACTATGCTTTTCGTATCCTCAAATTGTTTGCAATGTTTCCATCACCTGAGGGGTAAGATCCCAACGACGCAGATCCGGCTACTACCTTCTACAATCGCACAGCTCTCATCACAAAGTTATGTCACCATGGTTCGCGCCGGGAGTGTCGCGCAAGCTGGGTTCCCCTCACCAAACATCCCATCCGGCTCCGAGCCCCCGCGCGCCGAGGTCACGTCCCGTCGCGTCATACCCACGATGCTCTGATGATAAGATTGAAAAGTCCATTGAAGCCAAGATTCCATCCTGCCGTACTTATAGAAGGTCTAATCCTGCAATTGGGGAAGGGAATAGCAACCCAGCCCAAACATCGTGACCGAAAGCCATTGATCGACCCTCACGATGCGGTTCCTCGCCACCGCCCTCGTCTCTCTCGCGGCCACAGCGGGAGCAGACTTTCTCCCAGGCCTTCCAACAGCACCCTACACTCCAACAGGCGGCACCATCCCCGCCTCTTCTCTCTCCAAGATCATAGTCTCGTCAGCCTACGCAGACTCCGTCGACGACAAAGGCCAAACACTCATTCCGCCAACTCTGCATGCCTTTGCTACAACCTTCGGAGAAGACCTCGCCTCGTCGCTAAAACTCGATATTCCAATCGAGCTAGGCGATGCCCCGGAGCCAGGAGCCATTTTCCTGACGCTAGCCGATGATGCAAGCCTCTACAAAGATGCTGCTGGGCGCGAGACTTCTGAGGGGTACTCTCTCAATGTCACGATCGACGGTGTGCTCATCACAGGTGCTAGCCCGCTGGGCGTGTGGTGGGGTACTCGGACGGTCCTACAGCAGCTCATCCTCGGAGACGGGGAGCTGAAGTTGGGGTACGGGATAGATAGCCCCGGATGGGGAACCCGGGGCATGATGGTGAGAGAATCCTTCCGCCCGAGCTCGAGCGCGTATTGCGGGAAACGTGACCAACCCTCGGCCGGATGCCGAGGCGAAGAGAACCGCATGCTGACTGCCTGTGCACTATGTTAGCTCGATATCGCCAGACACTATTACCCAGCCGAATTCCTCATCGAAATGTGCGCTTACATGTCCTTCTTCAAACAAAACACTTTCCAGTTGCACCTCTCAGACAATTTGTACAACAATGTCGCCATCTACTCACGCGAGCGTATGCTTTCCCTCTACGCCGCCTTCCGGTTGAACTCCGACGATCCAGCCCTCGAGGGCCTTAATAGGCGCGCAAATGAGAGCTACACGCGGGACGTCTTTGACGAAATTCAATCGAAGTGCGCAGCGCGCGGTGTAACGATCCTGCCGGAGATCGAGGCTCCCGGGCACG